GGTCCAGAGAGGTGATACTCCCCCTCTATGCGACTTTGGTCAGGTCGCAGTTGGAGTACTGCGTCCAGTACTGGGCGCCGCACTTCAAAAGGGATGTGGCCAGTCTGGAGAGGGTTCAGAGAAGGGCCACCTGCTTGGTGAGAGGGCAGCAGGACAGGCCCTATGAGGAGAGACTGAGGGACCTGGACCTGTTCAGCCTCAGCAAGAGGAGGCTGAGGGGGGGCCTGGTGGCTACCTTCAAGCTTATCAGGGGAGATCAACAGCAAATAGGTAGAGCCCTTTTCTCCCCAGCACCACCTGGGGTGACGAGGAACAATGGTCATAAGCTGATGGAGAATAGATTTAAGTTAGAGATCAGAAGGCAATATTTTACAGTTAGGGTGGCCAAAATCTGGAACCAACTTCCCAGGGAAGTGGTCCCCGCCCCTACCTTGGGCAAATTCAAGAGGAGGTTGGAAGATCACCTGTCTGGGGTCTTGTGAACCCAGCGTTCATTCCTGCCTGTGGCAGGGGGTCAGATCTGTTCAGGTCCCTCCTGACCCTAACTACTATGAAACTATGAGAGGCAACCAAACCTATGGAGCCATATGTGCCTCTCCCAGAGGCAGCTTTCCATCTTCCTTTGGTCTGCTGTGCCAGTGGTGTTAGCCAAGTAGATGTAAGGAGGGGACATGCATTTCCCTGGAGCAATCTGCTCAGCCAGGAAGGCATACTGACCTGCTTTGAGGCACCAATAACAATTCTCAGCAGGAGTTGTCTGTCTGGCCTTCTACATTCCCAGGCTGGTAGCAGCTGCCATAAAGTTAGCATTGCTGTAGATGGGAGGCAGAACAGTGGTGCCTCTGAGCTGTACCCAGCCTTCATAGCCATTGCAAGTGTCCTGGAGATGAACATGGTGCCTTTCCTATGGGTGCAGAGGGGTTGCACTGGCAAACATCAGATTGGAGCAGGGCTGTTAAATTGGCACATGCTGAATTTGAAACCCTTGTGCAGTAGCAGTACCATGTGACTGTTTGTGCCTTCCAGGGGGCCTACAATCCCATCACCCACGTGTACACACCAAATGATGTGAAGCTGGTGATTGAACACGCTCGGCTCAGGGGGATCAGAGTGATACCTGAGTTTGACACGCCTGGCCACACACTATCTTGGGGGCCAGGTAAGGAGTAGGGCCTGTCCAGGACCCTAGATCAAAGCGGGTAGATTAGGGGTTCTGGGGCGCTGCTCAGAGGTGGGTCTCAACAGTCCAGATTTGTAGCACAGATCTCCAACTGTGTGCACCACCTTCCAAAGCCTGGCTTTTGAGGGCGACTGGTTTTTGACTTCTCTGAGCCTGTCTGATGCTTGAAGAGGTGGAAAGCAAGGCAGAGGGCAGGGAGGTACCCTCACCCAACTTTGCCCATGCACTCCCTGCTGCCCCTCTTGTCCAAATCCTATACCTGTAGTAACTTCTGCCAATGCCAGGAAGGTCTTGCATGGAGTCTTTGCTGCGTTGTGTCCCTAAACTTTTCACATGTTGTACTCTGGTGTTCTCTCCTGGGCCAGGCCTTGAGGAGTGATGAATGTGGTCTTGGGAAGCTAGGAACATTGAGTGGCTTTGGCCAGTGCAGGGAAAGCTGGGGTTGCTTAAACCCTTCCTCACAGCATTGTGTTTGGTATTTACCCAGGTGCTCCTGGCTTGCTAACTCCCTGCTACATAGGCTCAAAACCCTCTGGGGCCTACGGGCCTGTGAACCCCATCCTCAACAGCACCTACCAGTTCATGGCCGTGCTCTTTAAGGAGGTCAGCAACGTGTTCCCAGACTTCTACCTTCACCTTGGTGGCGATGAGGTTGACTTTACATGCTGGTTGGTTTTGCTTCTCTATCCTAGACCTTCTTGAGATCAGTCTGTGTTAGGGAGGGGAGAAGTGTGGGGGGAGGAGGGGGTCAGGGGGGTCTTGATATGGTACCACATTTTAGCATAGGCAGACTCCACATAGTGAAGTAACTGGGATATAATTGTCCAGTGGCTAGTGTCACGGCAGGGCTAAGAAGCCCCAAGTGAGAAGGGTGCTATATGCATGCTTGCAAATAGGCTGTCCCTTCCCCAGTGTAAATAGACAAGATGGGCACAGGGTGGGAGAGAATTCTTATGCCCTTTCTTCAAAGATAGAAACGGGGCTCAGAGAGACCAAATGCCTTGGCCAAGATCACACAGAGAGAATTTGAGGCAGAGCTGGGAATTGAACCCAAGTCTCCTCAGTCCCAGTCAAGTGCTTTGCCATTGACTGTCACCAGTGACTGTCAGCTGATGGGATAAAACAAACCAATTTGGAGTCCCTGGTCCTTAGTCTTGAGAGGCTGAATGAGTTGATCCACACTCACCATGGAGCTGTCTAAGGGAAACTGACACTATTGACTCAGTCAGAGGCAGCTCTTAGGCTTGGCTTCTGTTGGGATGCTGGGGCAGTGGCTGTTCACTATGGGATGGATAGGAAATGTGGGACAAGAATCATGGGACTTCCTTCCCTGTTAGTCTTGACACATTCCCCATTATGGTATCAGACGCAGCTTGGTGCAACACTTAGCTTTTATCCTGCTCCTCTGTCTCTTACACAGGAGGTCAAATCCTGAAATCCGTTCCTTCATGTGGCAGATGGGGTTTGGCCACGACTACACTAAATTGGAATCTTTCTATATTCAGAGGTAAGGAGAACTTTGTTCAGAGTCTGCAGAGATCAGCCAGCTGCAGAGTGATGACTGGGGTCTTCAGTGGATTATAGGTCCACCCTGTTGCCATAGAAATCCCCATACCACCTTCTGGGAGCAGGTTCTTTGGGAACACCACTGACTCCAGTGTCAGTTATGGGAGGAGCCCAGGCACTGGCTTGTTGGGCAGGTTAACCCTAAACTGGCCCAGGGTGATGCAAACTAGCTCTTGAAGTGGGGTGAGGGGAGCCCTGCTTAGGATGAGGGGGAAAATGAAACAATTCCCTGTCTTGCTGTGATCATTAGGAATAGGTGCTATTCCTGTTCAGACCCCCCCCCCCCAAATATGCTGGAAGGTGGACTTGGGCATTACTTTGGCGGGGACAACAGAGGGAGAAGGTTGAACAGGGAGGAGCTATTTGTATTACAATAATCACACTTCTTTCTACTCTAGGCTGCTGGATATTGTTTCCTCCTATGGCAAGGGCTATGTGGTGTGGCAGGAGGTGTTCGATAATGGCGTGAAGGTGAGACCTGCTCACCTTTCCTGGACTCCCCTTAGTTTTGGCAGCGTAGCAACTAGACCTGGCCAGCACACATCTGCTCCCTGCCCTTGGCATTCTTGGGAGGGGCCTGGCTGATTGGCAGTGGTGGGAGGACAACTGCTTTCTGTGTGGATCTTCTTCTGCCCTGTCCTGCAACTGGAAGAGCACAAAGATTGCCCTTGATGCTGGTGCTGTGTGGGGCTAGATTCTGCACACTCCCTCACCTGTTGGCTTTTTTGCTGTTTCACTGATTTCTTGTAGCCTGTTCCCAAAAGAGGAAAATCTTTAACCTTATCCTGGACACAGTGTCCCTTTAGGCCCTTTGTTCCCTTCACAGCAGGCAGTCACAACCTGCAGTTGTTCAGTTATACCCTAGTATAACTTATTCATTGCATGTGCCCTAGCCCTGGTTAGGGGCTGGCTTACTCCAAAACTCACAGAAGGTAGGAAGGTTGTAATATTACAACCTGCTAGTGTTTGCTTTCAGGCCATCTGGCTGCTGCTGCTTGCCCATTAGGACAGTAGGGCTCTTGTAAGGGGTCAGTTCACTGAATGTGAAGATCATGCAAGTTTCTCTTCCGTGGAGCCAGGTGAAGCCAGACACCATCATCCATGTGTGGAAGGAAGGCGCTGTGCCATACCAGCACAAGATGGCTCAGGTCACCAAAGCTGGCTACAGGGCTCTGCTCTCAGCCCCCTGGTACCTCAACCGCATCTCGTATGGGCAGGACTGGCTGACGGCCTACAAGGTGGAGCCTTTGGAGTTTGCAGGTGTGTACCTTGTGTGTGCGTGGGCTGCACCAGAATTGTTCCAGGACTCTGTTGTGCCACCGTCTACACTGTGGTGCGGGAATTGTGGCCAGTCACTCATTTGACTGGTCCCTACCTCTGAAACAAATGAGTTTGAACATATCCTTGACTCCAGTTGCTGGCAGCTACTGTACTGGTCAGTAGATGAGGGCCAAACAGCTTTGTTGTGGGCATGAGACAGCTGAATTCTTCTTCAGCACATGTGTTGAGTTGGGTGGGGGCCTCCAGAGCAGAGAACTGAAGTCTCTCTGGGCTGTGTAACCTGGGGACTGTACCAGACTCTAGCTCTGGGCTGCTGGTCCCAGGTTCACCTGTTGTCTTCTGACAGCTGAACTGGGTTTGAATTATCACCTGGTGGACCTAACAATGTCTCTTCTGATAGGTAGCTCTGAGCAGAAGGCCCTGGTGATTGGTGGAGAGGCCTGCATGTGGGGCGAATATGTGGATGTAACTAACCTGACCCCCCGACTCTGGTAAGAGAACCTATAGGAGGAGCAGGTGACTGGCTCCACCCCTTCCCTTCCCATTTTGAAGATTTTGGGTCTTATTCTCCACAGTGCTGTACACTGCAAGGAGCTCTGGTGGAGCTAGGTTGTTGCAAGAAGGGAAGCAGGGCCTCTGTGTGTGTCAGTGCGAGCACAGCAGCTGCAGTGGGTGTGCCTGTGGCTGGATTTATGGCTGTGCCTGTATGAAAGGGAACAGCTCCCACATGATACAGTGAAGCTGTAGAGAGGAAAGTGGAAGGGAAGTCCCACATTTTGTGCAAGTTCATTGCAATTCAGAGCACATTGAACCTGTGCCTGGCACAGTACTCCATAGAAAGTTCATGCAGTAGAGCACTCCCTGTGTTCGGAGTGTAGTGAATACTAGCAGATTCCACTAACCCGTCGTCTTCCATCTGGGTGCATACTCAGTGTAACAGCAGAGATCACACACCTGAAATGGTTGTAGATGAGCAATCACACTTCAGTGAGTACAACTGGACTAGGCCTTTCTCTCCCCTCACTTAGGGCTTTCATCATTGTGGATTTCTGTGAAGCCCACCTGCATGTAATTGCTTTAGGCTGAGTGTAAATAACTTGTGCCATTCCAGTCTTCATATCTCCCTGGAATGGAGCTAACTGGCTGTTCTGGTCTGGCCCCAAGGTTTTTCCTTGAGACATGTCAAGGGATTCATTTTACCTTAGATGCACAGTGCTGAGTCAGCAATGCAGAGTGACCTTGCCTGCCTCTAAGCCTGCCATGCCCAGTGGATCTGGCTCCAGATTGTGTGGCGAAGAGTAGCTGTTAGTGGGGACACCTTTGTGGAGATGAGTCTTTAAGGTCTCCTTGGTGACTCTACTGCCTTTCTGCTTCCTTTTTGCTCCTCTGGCTCGCTGTTGGCTAGTACTTGCACTGAGTGACCTTTGCTCAGACAGGCCTTCGGAGGATTCACTGAGATAGCTGTGCTGCATCCTCTACTCTGGGGCTGGTAAATCTCAGCCTAGATTTATCTTCTCATCAGAACTTCTGTGTAGTGGAGGATTTCAGATGCTTGCTGTAGCACTGCGATGTCTGCTCTGCTATCATGTCCTGCTTAGTGGACGCAGATATGGCTCGGAAGGGTGTCTTGGGGTTCACACAGCTGTTTATTGGAGAAATACCAGGGAGGAGAACCAGCTGACTTTTTATTTTATTTTATTTTTTTACTTCTACATGTGCTTGCTGTATAGAGTGGGGGCTGAAATACCATCCCATATGCCACTCAGCTCAAGGCTTCCCTTCTCCTTCATTTACCTTTTAATCCCGGACACAAACTACCCCATACTAGCCCCCAGTCTTCTTAATTCTTGATCCAGTTTCTCCTGGAGTTGGTTAAACAATGTTTCTACTGACCACACTCTTGGCAAAGCTCGGTGGTCTGGGTCTAGCAGTGCTTCTCCACCAACAGTGAAAGCTACCAGGGCCCCAAGCATTCCTTGCAGTGTTGATGCACCTGGCTGCTAGATGTGTATTTCTGCATCCATGGGAATGGCTTTATCCGATGGGGCAAGGCAGAAGTGACCAAGTGCTAACTGTCTTCCTCGTTGTCCTTTAATGTCCCAGAAAGACTAACTCCTTTCCATGCCTTACTTCCTGCAGGCCGAGAGCTGGGGCTGTAGCTGAGAGACTGTGGAGCAATGAGACAGTGAGAGATCCGCAGGATGCATATTACCGGCTGGCAGACTTTCGCTGCAAGCTACTCAGGTAATGTCCCTGTCTGTTGGAATATGGCTAGGGATGATGACTTCCGTTTGCACAGTTCCTTCCCACTAGGGACTCTAACTTGCCTCAGAGATGGGACAAAGGGAGTTGCCCAAAGACCTGGTGTGGAACACAGCAGAAGCAGTGAGAGGAATGGTGCATCTCTGGGGAGACCAGTAATGAGCTAAAACTTCACCAGGCTACTTGAGTTAATGCCATGCTCTTATGCCAAGTTTCCTGGGATCCTTAATGCCTGGGAGTGGGCAGGGCCTTCTTTGTCCACCTCCAGAAGATGGCACCCCCCTACTGCTGCTGCAGCATTGTTTTGACAGTATTTCAAAGTGAAGAGTACCTCCTACATCAGGGCAGGCAATTATTTTGGTCAGAGGGCCACTTACCCAGTTTTGGCAGGCTGTCGAGGGCCGCATGGGTAGCCCTACCCCGTGACAGGTGCCCCACCCCCTGGTCACCATCTTGGGACCAGTGTCCCAATGTCTTGGTCCCATGAGAAGCTGGTGCTGAACGTGGGGAAAAGCAGCCTCTTGCCCGCCCCATGGCCGGTGCTCCCTGCTGCAGATGCTCGCAGCCCACGTGGAGCTGTCCTGAGCAGGCACAGGCAGCCCCACACGGGCTGCAAGCAGCTACAGCATGGGGTGCCGGCCACGGAGTGAGTGAAGGGCAGCTTTTCCCCATGCTCAGCACCAGCTTGTAACCCACCCCTGCTGCCAGCCTGGGCTCCGCACCAGGTCTGGGCTTGTCCATCAGGGCTGTGCATGGCGGCAGCAGCTGCGGCCCCCCCCACCTGCCGCCCCGT